TGGGCAAATATTCCAGCAAGCAAAATTTTTCATTTTCCTTTTATTTTCTATAACATTTATATATTGTTACACTTTCTCACTAAGTATTATAAAGAAGCAAAAACAGAAATCTATACTAAAAACAGAAAAAAAAACAAATTCCCTAAAACTTGAAATGGAACTAAGGAAAATTTGAAACAAAAAATCAGTCCTTCCATGATTCAGTATTTGTTTTAGCTTCAAATGTGAACCAGTTAACTAATTGTTGTGCTTAATAGATTTCCTGAACCTACAATTTCTATCACTATATCTATCCTATGAACTAACTTGTCATATTAATATGAATTTTCAGTAATTAAGTTACAAATGCAACTTGTATATTTATCATATTTCTTCCCCATAAACTAGATATCTCGACAAATTCATGATACCTAAGGTTTGAAACGAATTCTAAAAATGAAAAATCTTTCAAGCTATTCAACCATAGTCGGGATCACACCAAGTCAATGTAAATGATCCTTTCTTTAGCTGCATAGTATGTGCTTCACCAGGAATACATACAGTTTTGAATTCAGAGTTTTCCTTCTAGACTGGTTGCCAGCCAAGGCTATAGAACCCATAACTATTTACCCATAACTGGGGGAGAAGAATTAAATTCATACCTTTCTCAAGAGTATTAGTATGTAAGTAAATACAATGAACTCAATTGGAATTCAAACATGGCTCTGATTCCTTAATCTGAGCTGAACTCCATTACTCTACTGTGTCTCATGAAGCTTTTATTTTAGTTTTAATTTCAAGATAATAGATTAAATTTAATATTTCCAATAAGCAAAAATACTGGACTGTATTGGAAGGAATTTTCATTTTAAAATTGAATTTATTTTTTTTTTTTTAGCACCATTTTTCGCCACCTTGTCATCAGAATGTTTATTAAAAAAATTTTCCCAATAATAAAATATACTTTTCTGAAACTTTATTTGAAGAATATTAGCTGATTTTATGTATAATTAATTTGATTTGAAACAAATATTATTTACTTTAAAATATCACAGAAATGCATTTTTTTAACACATCGGTAGCTGTTTATTTATGTGTTTGACAGCTTCATGACCAATTGATGTTTATCTAATGTTGTTCTATGGAGGCTATATCCATAAAAAAACAAGTGATGATAACAAGAGCAACTCTTATATTTTATTGAATTTTAGTTTTAAATTTACTATAGTTATTGTTCTTATTTTCTGATAATGTTGTGTATGAACAACTGCCTCTACAAAAATCAGCATGTTTATAGACATTCAAAAACAATTCAAAATTCTTTTAAAAATATTGGTGTTTCAGGATTTGTACTAAACTTCTCTATTTATAATTAGTAAATATAGTTTTACTTAATAACAATATTTCCTAAACTTTACAATACAGAAACTGAATTTTAAGATTTAAAACCTTATAAATTATTCTAAAGAGATTATTCTATTTTAAAAAAAGAAAACAATTCTTGAATTTTTTTTTTCTTAAGACAATACAAAAGTGTCCATCTTATTCATAAAAGCAATTAAAAGCTTTTCTAATTAAATAACATCTTAGTTTTATTGTGTTTTTTATTTTATGATTCAGAGCAAATTTTTGATAAGAGAGTCCAATTTTACAAAAAATATAATGATTTAAAATCTTCAAGTTCTGCTTTTAACCAATATAGTAACTAAAAATTATCTCATTAAATTTCTCAAGATTTCATAAAATTAAATGGGGTAAAACACATGTAAAAAAAAAAAAAAAAAAAATATATATATATATATATATATATATATATATATATATATATATATATATATATTTTTACTAAGATTTTCTAAAAACATTTCTAAAATAATTTGATTCATTTGTGAAAAAGTACTTGAATTGTCATTAAAATCTGACAATTATTTGATTTTTGCAAGAATTTCCAAATTAATGTCTTTCATCGCAAAAAAGACACTAAAATTTGCTATGCTAATTTATAGCTCATATGCTGATGCAAGAAAAACAAAATTTTGAACCGAAATTTCAATTGTTCTCAAAAGGATTAAAAACATATAATTAATAAATACTTCAGTCTTTTCTCTTCTTAATAATGACAAAGATTTTAACAATAAAACCTAATTTTTTTTAAAATTTGAGACATTTTTTCATCATAGTATTCTCTTCTTTCGGCGATTTTGCGGAAGTACCTACACAAGGATAGGCTGAAAAGAATTGTTAATTAACAAAAATTATTTCCAAAGCCAAAAATCACTACCCCACTTTTTTAGAAAATTGGCCCAAATCAGGAAATTATCCAATTCAAATTAAATGTTCAGTATTTATTCATTAATGAATGAATTGTAAACAGAATACACTATTTTATTAAATATTGTGGGGGTGAGGTCTATTTCACAATCCACCCCACCCTTTTCAATATCTCATAAGTACTTTTTAATTTGTGGGTGTTCACAAAATTTGTTTACAATTATAGAAAGAAATCCCTAAATATGTTATTTCAGTAAAAGAATTTATGCAATATCAAGTGTGAACATACAGGAAATTCATCCCAAAATTAATTCAATAAAACTCAAAAATAATTTTTTCAAAAAGCTGTTTTTTTGCATAATTTAATAAAATTTGTTATTTTCTTTCAGATTAGACAGAGGAAAAAATCTACACTTAATATTTATTTTTAAAAAATTACTTGCAATTTTGAAATTCATCTCATTGATGTTCATAAGTTCTTTTTATTAAATAAAAACAGGTTTGAAGAATAAAAAAAATAAAAAGGTAAAGTTTAATGTCATTTTCAAGAGTGAAGCTTTTTTTAAAAGAATTTGCTCTTTCGTGTTAACAACTGCCAGATAATTTTTGTATGGATGTTGAAAAAGGAAAGCATTCTGAGTTACTACCTTTGATTGAATACTCTTCCCTATTGGAAGAGTAATATTTTATTGCAGAATAAAAAAAAAACATATTGGGTACACTTAAATATTTTATGACATCAAATAAGTAGAAAAATAATCAAAAATAAAAGAAATGTATTAAAAACTCTTTAACTAAAAAATACTTCTAATCAATGTAATATAAAAACAAAATTATTCATTCTAAGTTTCATAAAAGTATGTAAAATAAAATAAAATCATTCTTAAACAACTGATTATATAAGGTTAAAGCTAATTTATTTTTAAACATAAATACCAATTTATTGATTATTGCACAGCTAATATACTGTATTTTAACCCTTAAGAGTCAATACTGGGTCCCTGAGGAACCAAAATAGATGAATTGTAAACTATTTGTATCACAGTTACATGGTTTTTGATCATTTTCCAAATATTCCTCAAAAATTATCTATCCACTTTATTTTTCAAGTTACCAAAAGGTATTACAGAATTGATATTGAAAGATATGTAATTATGTCCACACCAGTGATGGGTCCCCAGGAACCCAGCTCGGGCAGTTAAGTTATTTTGCATCTAAGTGTTAGATGACAAATTGTTTACTTTTTTCCATGTGCATACTACTGATAGTAAGACTCTTACTTTTATATAGTGCGGACACTGTTTTCTATTTTACCAAAAACTAATTTTGACACCATTCTCACTTATTGTACTAATTTCTTTTTGAACATTAGATGCTGGAAGCTACAAACCGAAGATATTCTGCACAGAAAGCAGCCAATCATCTTATACTCAGAAACTCAAGAATGAATTTTCCAATGGTGATGATAATTCTATTCAATCAGATGATGATGAGCTTGATGATGTTAAAGATGTTGCTGAGATGTCAGATGATGACATTGTGGATGGCATAGCTTTAGATCATGACCGTGTTTCATTTCCTTAAAGTGACTATTCAACTCGACCTGGGAGAAAGTGGTCCAGTGTTCCAAATGTGCCTTCAAAAACTCATGGTGCAAATGTTTTTAATGGTAATCAAGGACTCACATCAACAATGAAAACAAAGCAAGAAGCTTTGGATCTTTTTTTGACCTCTGAAATTCTCAAAATGGACAAACAAGTACAGGAAATGCAAGAAAACAGACTAGCAAACTCTTACAGTGGCTGAACTTCACGCATATCTTGGTCATTTATGTGCTGCCAGAGCGTCAAAAGAGAATCACAAAAACAACAGGGAGATGTGGAAAGATGGACCTCTTTTGAGGCCAGTTTTTGCTACAACAATGTCAAGGAGCTAGTTTGATGAAATTACTCAGTGCATTCGCTTTGATAACTTAGATACTCAGCAAGAGAGGAGGGAATGTAATAAGTTTGCTTCATTCCATACATTATGGGATTTGTTCATTTCACAATGCAAAAAAAGAACAATAATCCTTCAGAGCTTTTGTGCATCAATGAACAACTTATTCTCTTCAGAGGGAGATACCCATTCAGGTAATATCTACCTTCAAACCCAGATAAATATGGCCTGAAGGTTTTTCTTCTAGTGGATTGTAGTACTGGATGTATCTGTATATCAGAATACTATATGCAGGCAAAGGAACTGACAGAAAAACTATAGTTGGACTGACATCCAAAATAGTTAAGTTGAGCCATTTTATGAAAGTGGAAGAACTATCACAGCTGATAATTATTTTTGGCATTGTTGAAGAACTTTATTGGAAGAGATTGGCCCATGTTGAGGAACTTTATCGGAAGAAATTGGCCCATGTTGAGGAACTTTATCGGAAGAAATTGGCCCATGTTGAGGAACTTTATCGGAAGAAATTGGCCCATGTTGAAGAATTGGCCCATGTTGAGAAACTTTATCGGAAGAGATTGGCCCATGTTGAGGAACTTTATCGGAAGAAATTGGCCCATGTTGAGAAACTTTATCGGAAGAGATTGGCCCATGTTGAGGAACTTTATCGGAAGAGATTGGCCCATGTTGAGGAACTTTATCGGAAGAAATTGGCCCATGTTGAGAAACTTTATCGGAAGAGATTGGCCCATGTTGAGGAACTTTATCGGAAGAAATTGGCCCATGTTGAGAAATCTTTATGTTGAGAAACTTTATCGGAAGAGATTGGCCCATGTTGAGAACTTTATCGGAAGAAAAACTTTTATCGGAAGAGATTGGCCCATGTTGAAGGAACATGTTTTATCGGAAGAAATTGGCCCATGTTGAGAAACTTTATCGGAAGAGATTGGCCCATGTTGAGGAACTTTATCGGAAGAAATTGGCCCATGTTGAGGAACTTTATCGGAAGAGATTGGCCCATGTTGAGGAACTTTATCGGAAGAGATTGGCCCATGTTGAGGAACTTTATCGGAAGAAATTGGCCCATGTTGAGAAACTTTATCGGAAGAGATTGGCCCATGTTGAGGAACTTTATCGGAAGAGATTGGCCCATGTTGAGGAACTTTATCGGAAGAAATTGGCCCATGTTGAGAAAACTTTATCGGAAGAGATTGGCCCGGAATGTTGAGGAACTTTATCGGAAGAAATTGGCCCATGTTGAGAACTTTTATCGGAAAATGTTGGCCCATGTTGAAACTTTTCGGAAGAGATTGGCCCATGTTGAGGAACTTTATCGGAAGAGATTGGCCCATGTTGAGGAACTTTATCGGAAGAAATTGGCCCATGTTGAGAAAAACATGTTGAGGAACTTATCGGAAGAGATTGGCCCATGTTGAGAACTTTATCGGAAGAGATTGGCCCATGTTGAAGAAAACATGTTGAGAAATCGGAAGAAATTGGCCCATGTTGAGATCGGAAGAGATGGCCCATGTTGAGGAACTTTATCGGAAGAGATTGGCCCATGTTGAGGAACTTTATCGGAAGAAACTTTATCGGAAGAAATTCGGGCCCATGTTGAGGAACTTTATCGGAAGAAATTGGCCCATGTTGAGGAACTTTATCGGAAGAGATTGGCCCATGTTGAGGAACTTTATCGGAAGAGATTGGCCCATGTTGAGGAACTTTATCGGAAGAAATTGGCCCATGTTGAGAAACTTTATCGGAAGAGATTGGCCCATGTTGAGGAACTTTATCGGAAGAAATTGGCCCATGTTGAGAAACTTTATCGGAAGAGATTGGCCCATGTTGAGGAACTTTATCGGAAGAGATTGGCCCATGTTGAGGAACTTTATCGGAAGAAGATTGGCCCATGTTGAGAACTTTATCGAAGAGATTGGCCCATGTTGAGAAACTTTATCGGAAGAAATTGGCCCATGTTGAGGAACTTTATCGGAAGAGATTGGCCCATGTTGAGGAACTTTATCGGAAGAAATTGGCCCATGTTGAGAAACTTTATCGGAAGAGAGATGTTGAGGAACTTTATCGGAAGAGGGCCCATGTTGAGGAACTTTATCGGAAGAAATTGGCCCATGTTGAGGAACTTTATCGGAAGAAACTTTTGGCCCATGTTGAGGAACTTTATCGGAAGAAATTGGCCCATGTTGAGAAACTTTTATCGGAAGAGATTGGCCCATGTTGAGGAACTTTATCGGAAGAAATTGGCCCATGTTGAGGAACTTTATCGGAAGAGATTGGCCCATGTTGAGGAACTTTATGATCGGAAGAGATTGGCCCATGTTGAGGAACTTTATCGGAAGAAATTGGCCCATGTTGAGAAATTGGCCCATTTATCGGAAGAGATTGGCCCATGTTGAACTTTATCGGAAGAGATTGGCCCATGTTGAGGAACTTTATCGGAAGAGATTGGCCCATGTTGAGAAACTTTATCGGAAGAGATTGGCCCATGTTGAGAAACTTTATCGGAAGAAATTGGCCCCATGTTGAGAAACTTTATCGGAAGAGATTGGCCCATGTTGAGGAACTTTATCGAAGAGATTGGCCCATGTTGAGGAACTTTATCGGAAGAAATTGGCCCATTGAGTTCGGAAGAGAAAACTTTATCGGGAAGAGATTGGCCCCAAGAACTTTATCGGAAGAAATTGGCCCATGTTGAGAACTTTATCGGAAAACTTTATCGGAAGAGATTGGCCCATGTTGAGGAACTTTATCGGAAGAAATTGGCCCATGTTGAGAAACTTTTATCCATGTTGAGGAAGAGATTGGCCCATGTTGAGGAACTTTATCGGAAGAGATTGGCCCATGTTGAGGAACTTTATCGGAAGAAATTGGCCCAATGAACTTTATCGGAAGAAATTGGCCCATGTTGAGAAACTTTATCGGAAGAGATTGGCCCATGTTGAGGAACTTTATCGGAAGAAATTGGCCCATGTTGAGGAACTTTATCGGAAGAGATTGGCCCATGTTGAGGAACTTTATCGGAAGAGATTTTATCGGAAGAAATTGGCCCATGTTGAGGAACTTTATCGGAAGAAATTGGCCCATGTTGAGAAACTTTATCGGAAGAAATTGGCCCATGTTGAGGAACTTTATCGGAAGAAAAAGAATTGAGAGAAACTTTATCGGAAGAGATTGGGCCCATGTTGAGAACTTTTATCGGAAGAGATTGGCCCCATTTTGAGGAACTTTATGGAAGAAATTGGCCCATGTTGAGGAACTTTATCGGAAGAGATTGGCCCATGTTGAGGAACTTTATCGGAAGAAGAAATTGGCCCATGTTGAGAAACTTTATCGGAAGTTTTGGCCCATGTTGAGGAACTTTATCGGAAGAGATTGGCCCATGTTGAGGAACTTTATCGGAAGAAATTGGCCCATGTTGAGGAACTTTATCGGAAGAAATTGGCCCATGTTGAGGAACTTTGAAGAGATTGGCCCATGTTGAGGAACTTTATCGGAAGAATTGGCCCATGTTGAGAAACTTTATCGGAAGAGATTGGCCCATGTTGAGGAACTTTATCGGAAGAAATTGGCCCATGTTGAGGAACTTTATCGGAAGAGATTGGCCCATGTTGAGGAACTTTATCGGAAGAAATTGGCCCATGTTGAGAAACTTTATCGGAAGAGATTGGCCCATGTTGAGAAACTTTATCGGGAAGAGATTGGCCCATGTTGAGGAACTTTATCGGAAGAGATTGGCCCATGTTGAGAAAACATGTTGAGGAACTTTATCGGAAGAAATTGGCCCATGTTGAGAAACATGTTGAGGAACTTTATCGGAAGAGATTGGCCCATGTTGAGAAACTTTATCGGAAGAGGATGTTGAGAAACTTTATCGGAAGAGATTGGCCCATGAAACTTTTTCGAAGAGATGGCCCATGTTTTATCGGAAGAGATTGGCCCATGTTGAGGAACTTTATCGGAAGAAATTGGCCCATGTTGAGAAACTTTATCGGAAGAGATTGGCCCATGTTGAGAAACTTTATCGGAAGAGATTGGCCCATGTTGAGAAACTTTATCGGAAGAGATTGGCCCATGTTGAGGAACTTTATCGGAAGAGATTGGCCCATGTTGAGAAACTTTATCGGAAGAGATTGGCCCATGTTGAGAAACTTTATCGGAAGAGAGATGTTGGCCCATGTTGAGAAACTTTATCGGAAGAGATTGGCCCATGTTGAGGAACTTTATCGGGAAGAAATTGGCCCATGTTGAGGAACTTTATCGGAAGAAATTGGCCCATGTTGAGAGAAACTTTATCGGAAGAGATTGGCCCATGTTGAGGAACTTTATCGGAAGAAATTGGCCCATGTTGAGGAACTTTATCGGAAGAGATTGGCCCCCATGTTGAGGAAACTTTATCGGAAGAGATTGGCCCATGTTGAGGAACTTTATCGGAAGAAATTGGGCCCATGTTGAGAAAACGGAAGAGATTGGAAGAGATTGGCCCATGTTGAGGAACTTTACTTTATGGAAGAGATTGGCCCATGTTGAGGAACTTTATCGGAAGAAATTGGCCCATGTTGAGAAACTTTTATCGGAAGAGATTGGTCAGAACTTTATCGGAAGAATTGGCCCATGTTGAGAAACTTTATCGGAAGAGATTGGCCCATGTTGAGGAACTTTATCATTGGCCCAACTTTATCGGAAGAGTTATGTTGAGGAAATTTATCGAAGAGATTCATGTTGAGAAACTTTATCGGAAGAGATTGGCCCATGTTGAGGAACTTTATCGGGAAGAGATTGGCCCATGTTGAGAAACGGAAGAAATTGGCCCATGTTGAGAAACTTTATCGAAGAAACTTTTGGCCCATGTTGAGAAATTTATCGGAAGAAATTGGCCCATGTTGAGAAACTTTATCGGAAGAGATTGGCCCATGTTGAGGAACTTTATCGGAAGAGATTGGCCCATGTTGAGGAACTTTATCGGAAGAATTGGCCCATGTTGAGAAACTTGGAAGAGATTGGCCCATGTTGAGGAACTTTATCGGAAGAGATTGGCCCATGTTGAGAAACTTTATCGGAAGAGATTGGCCCATGTTGAGGAACTTTATCGGAAGAGATTGGCCCATGTTGAGGAACTTTATCGGAAGAAATTGGCCCATGTTGAGAAACTTTATCGGAAGAGATTGGCCCATGTTGAGAAGAAACTTTTCGAAGAGATTGGCCCATGTTGAGAAAAACTTTATCGGAAGAGATTGGCCCATGTTGAGGAACTTTATCGGAAGAAATTGGCCCATGTTGAGAAACTTTATCGGAAGAGATTGGCCCATGTTGAGAACTTTATCGGAAGAGAATGTTGAGAAACTTTATCGGAAGAGATTGGCCCATGTTGAGAAACTTTATCGGAAGAGATTGGCCCATGTTGAGGATTGGCCCATGTTTTATCGGAAGAGATTGGCCCATGTTGAGGAACTTTATCGGAAGAAATTGGCCCATGTTGAGAAACTTTATCGGAAGAGATTGGCCCATGTTGAGAAACTTTATCGAAGAGATTGGCCCATGTTGAGGAAACTTTATCGGAAGAGATTGGCCCATGTTGAGGAACTTTATGGGAAGAGATTGGCCCATGTTGAGGAACTTTATCGGAAGAAATTGGGCCCATGTTGAGAAACTTATCGGAAGAGATTGGCCCATGTTGAGGAACTTTATCGGAAGAGATTGGCCCATGTTGAGAAACATGTTTTTATCGGAAGAGATTGGCCCATGTTGAGAAACTTTATCGGAAGAGATTGGCCCATGTTGAGAAACTTTATCGGAAGAGATTGGCCCATGTTGAGTTGAGAAAATTTTTATCGGAAGAGATTGGCCCATGTTGAGAAACTTTATTCGGAAGAGAGATTGGCCCATGTTGAGAAACTTTATCGGAAGAGATTGGCCCATGTTGAGGAACTTTATCGGAAGAGATTGGCCCATGTTGAGAAGAAACTTTATCGGAAGAGATTGGCCCATGTTGAGGAACATGTTTTATCGGAAGAAATTGGCCCATGTTGAGAAACTTTTATCGGAAGAGATTGGCCCATGTTGAGGAACTTTCGGAAGAAATTGGCCCATGTTGTCGAAGAAACATTTTATCGGAAGAGATTGGCCCATGTTGAGGAACTTTATCGGAAGAGATTGGCCCATGTTGAGGTTGAGGAACTTTATCGGAAGAAATTGGCCCAGAAATTGGAGAAACTTATCGGAAAGAGATTGGCCCATGTTGAGGAACTTTTATCGGAAGAAATTGGCCCATGTTGAGGAACTTTATCGGAAGAGATTGGCCCATGTTGAGGAACTTTATCGGAAGAGATTGGCCCATGTTGAGGAACTTTATCGGAAGAAATTGGCCCAT